GTATGAGGGGATAAATGGTGATGGATGGAGACTTTGACTTGAGGTGGTGAACACACAATACAGTGTACAGGTGATGTGCTGTAGAATTGTGCACCTAAACCTATATAATTTTGTTAACCAGTGTTACCCTAATAAATTCAATAAAAATGAAAACCAAATGTAGACTACTTAGTAATAGAGAATCCGCCCGACAAACTCCATTTTCTCTCCCATGAATACATGCCACATGATCTGATAAGTAAAACTAGGCAGAATTTTTTCATACTAACCTGTCAAACGAGGCTCTCAAAGCAGTTTCCTTTGAGCAGCAACCACTAGCAGTACAAGGCACTGTGCCAATGCCTTTGGGGGGTGGGCAGGGTGAGAAATGAAGCAATGGAGAAGAAAGACATGGTCCCTCACTTGGGTTTGCAACCGAGTTGGGGTGAGAAGTCCCAGAATTTATGGCGTGATATTGCTATAATTTACAAATATGAGTTCTCAATAAATGGTTAAAATCAACCAACAAACAAAATAGAGTTCAAAGGAAGGAGAGATAGATTTCATCTGGGACTGTAGGGGGACATTTCACAACGGAAATGGGACCTAACTAGTCCTTCGAAGACTCACAGAATTTTAAAGGGTAGCAATGGAGTGAGGACATTACAAGTGTAAGGGGCAGAAATAAACAAAGGTGCAGAGAAGGTAAATCATGAGGTGAGATTAGGGAAAATTTAGTCATCAGGTTTGTGGGGAGCGTAGGGAGATGTTGACAAAAACAGTGGGAAATAAATCTGAAAAGGTGTGTTGAAGTCAGACTTTGGGGGACTTTGAATGGCAGGTAAAGCAATTTGGATTGTATTCAGCAGGCATAGGGGAGCCACTGGCTACCTTTAAGCAAGGAAGTGACAGGCCCCAAAGCTATACTACAGAAAAATCAAACTGACAGCCCTGAAGAGGAAAAAATGAAAGGGTAAGGATGTAGAGCAAAGGGAATGTCAAAAGACTATCAAGGTAAGAGTAAACACCTTAACTAAAAATCGGAAAATAATATATTTTTAAAAAATGAATGTATACACGAGAAATCTCTGAAACAATCAAAAGGACTTTGATTAGATGGGTAGAAGATTTACATTGTGAGTTTACTCCCCTGGCTACAGGCATAAAGTGGATGCAAATTAGTTATTTCAACACTAGCCTCAAGTCTGAAAATAGAAATACCACTTAGCCCCCACTAATAAACAGCATACTCTTAAGGTAGTCCTATGGTTACTGCTAATTACTTATTTCAACTGACCTGCCCACTCTCTGCAACAGGCTACACCATTGATGATATTAAAAAAGGATTTCCCTAGTGGGGCAACACTGGCACACTACAAATGTATAGCAAATCTTTCTTTTTCTTTTTTTAAATGTTTTTTATTGATTGTAGAGAAAGAGGAAGGGAGAGGGATAGAGAGACAGAAACATCAATGAGAGATCAGCTGCGTCCTACACGCCTCATACTGGGGATCGAGCCTACAACCTGGGCATGTGCCCTGACCAGGAACTGAACCGGACACCTCTTGGTTCATGGGTCAGTGCTCATTGACTGAGCCATACCAGCCGGGCTAGCAAATCATTCTTTACCCCAGCATTCACCCTTAGAGGAATTTTCCCAGTAGTATATGCAGCTAAAATAATGTAAAAGGGTCATTTAGAGGCAGATTCAAATTTAAAAATTAAAGGCAGGAAACTGAATGATACTGAAGTTCTAGAAAGGATTACTTCTTGTGAAATTAAAGAGAAGACACACAAACCATACACCAAATAGGATAAGAAATGGGTGGTTAGATCAGTAATACAAAGGAAACACCTAGTAAAGAAATCACGGGAGATGAATTAACCAAGTTGTTATTTTAAATTTTTTATATTGTTTTCCTAATGGGCATGTCCCCAAGCAAGTACAGTTTATCCACCCATCCCTCAACTTTTCCCGTCTCTGTATTTACAAGCCTTTGACCAGATATGGTGCATTCAAATCTGGTCTCCTCTCTGTAAGGAATGTAGTGAATTAAGGTTAAAAGGTGAAAGTGAAAAATTACAAGATTTCTATTGTTAACACAAACTACAAGCTTGTAGTCTAGTCTACAAGCAACACTGGAATGTTCCTCCCAACGTGTCCATTTACAAGCTCATACCTCTCATCAAGCCTCCTGCTGGCTCCAGATGCTCTCTGGCTCTAGCATAAACTCATCTGTTGATTGAGACTCTATCCTCTGCCCCCATGCTACCTAACCAGCTCCACACACTTTTATCCTTAATATCCACTCTTCCCAGGGAAATCTCGTAATTTTCACTTTCACCTTTTAACCTTAATTCACTATGTTCCTTACGCCTGGAAGAGCCTGCTCACCTAATATATTAGTACCTGTTTCTTAAATACTTGGACTTGACTCAAAATACTTCTATGACAAACCTCAAAACACTTTCCTAGCCCACTTTAGTCTTATGTGCTGAACTAATTTCTAGTTATGTTAATGCTACATGCATGAAATATTCATTAAAGCCAAAACAGGCTGATTTTGAGATTGATTTTTACGAAGATTAGCTGGTTAATCAATAAACTTTTATAGCATATAAGGGGTTGAGTAAATAGCACAGGAAAGGAATCTATTGTTAATACAAATTACAAGCTCCATAACTCTCATTCTAAATGACATTCCAAAATATTGACTTCCCAAACACACTGGACATTAGCCAGTAAAGGTGGTTAATGTTTATATTATCTCTAACCAAACTTCCTATTAACTTTTAGAATTTAGCCATATTGTACATGCAAGTGAACTTTAATTACCACTAAATTACAGAACCCACATAAACTCCATAATACTTTGTATCCAATGTGTACTGAAAAAATATTAATGATTATATGTTAATTATATGCTAGTTAATAAACCAAAACAGTCTACCTTAATTCTGGAAAAGAATAAAGATAATTATAGACAGATTATCCTGTTTGCCACTTGGGCTAATCCCAACTACTCCAGGAGTGGCAAAGTCACTGTCATTGAGATGGGTATGAAGAATGAAAGTACTCATGCCAAGATGGTGTGGCACAAGAATCTTTCTGAAAGGGTACATGGAGAGTCAATACAGGCACTGAATTCATTTCTGGTTTCACTAAAAACTAAGAGTAAACAACACAAAGACGACAACAGGTACCATTATTAATAGCATCGTCTCATGGCATATGAAATATCATCTTGGTCTTGGAACAAACAAACAAAGCATTTCAGAAGGGCAAAACCAAGAGAGGGGAAGGTATTATGATTGGGGTACAGATAATGTTAGATTTCTTGTTTACTGCCCCACACTAATATGGATAATTTCCTCATCAATGAAATACAGGAATTTAATAATGTGAAAATGTAACAGGCTGTGAAAAGAATCAGAATCCTAAATCCTACAAAATAGAAGCTTTAAAACAATAAATGACGACCACACACATACAATTTAATAAGAACTCAGCAATTTTGTAATGAAAAAATTATCAAGGTTCTGTTTTTTCAAATCTTGAATCATTTGTGCACAAAAAGAAGGAAAGGGCTTCCTACAGAGCATTAACTCCACTAAAGATTTTGGCTACTTCCTATTCATGGTCAAACATGGTTAAATTACCTGATACTTTAAATAAAATTTTAAAATTTTGTTTGTTGAGCTCCTTCCAGTCACTTTAATATGGAACAATTACAGTAAAGGGTATTATAATGCTTTTGTCAACTCTGACCAAAAGTAAAGCTAGATTCTAGTTTACAGGACATAAGGTGGGAGAGGGGAGCTTAAAGGGATAAGTTAAAAAAATTATCAAGAGGAAACAATCAGACAAATTTAGGAAATGGTGGATTCTTGACTAGACAACTGTTCTGGACTCTTAAAAATTCAATGCCATTAACGAAAAAAGGAGAGAACTGTTCTACTCTAAAAGAGACTGAAGAGACCTCACCAAATGTACTGTATGAATCCAGATTGGATTTTGGCTTTAAGAAAGCTACAAAAAACCTCTTGGGACAGCTGTAGAAATCTAGATATGGTGTAATAATGGTACTACTGTGCTTATGCAGAAGTGTCCTATTCCTTGAGAAGCAGGCTGAAAAATTCACTGGTAAAAGTGGCATATTACCACTCAATTTCAAATGGTACAGCAAAAAAAAAAAAAAAAAA